TACTAAAAAACAGTAATTGCGTTTGTCCTTGAGAACCGTAGAATACGCGACGAATACGTACAAAAAATACTTTTACTCACTCAGAATAAATAAAATTACATTTACCTATGGTGAAAGGAAAAAAGAATGGCCTAACTTTTACGGAATGTTCGGTCAAAATCTGCCAATTTCTGCTGCTTTCACCGCCATATTGAAAATGAGGCTACCATAATGCAACGCAATCGGAGTCCGCACACCGCCTGGGGGATGCCAGTGAACCGTAGTTCATCCTCTGGCGTTCATTACTGAGGATTCAACGGTTCCATTTACGCTGGGTGATGGGAGCCCTGTGAGAGTCGGATGCCATTCCGGCCAAGCTAATAGCCAAGACTCTTAGGCCGGTCATCTCACTATCGGATCACCGGGACCAAACCCCATCTATAGCCCACCATCCTATTTAATGAGAGAATGGTTCTCTCTTCCAGTACGTTTCTGAGTGAATATGCGAAGATATTCAGAGACGGAAACAACGGATAGACTAATCATTCGATTTGCGCAGTTACTTGTGAGCCATTTTTTCCGTGTTTAAAAGAAGTTAAGATACAATTAAAGCTTTGAATACGAGAACGATCTTCGCAGTGGTGAGCACTACTTAAGCAGTAGTGAAAGTAAGGCCTGAATTTTTTTTCAGGCCTTATTTTCACTACTACTTAAGTTGTGTTTATTACTGCAAAGATCTCACCCATATTCATTTCTTCATCCGAAATTCACATATATGATTTTCCTATATTCTCAGTCATTTCATCATAGCTTTATTAATTGATACCTTCCATTGTTTCCCTCTTTTCATTTCGAACTTCCCACTGTAAATCACCTCTGTTATAAGAAGAACTTTATCGCCATCCGCAAAACTATGCATTATTTTGGCATCTAAGGCCGTTTTCGCCAGAATTTCACGGAGATCTGGATCGTCAATATATTTCTGACTCAGGTTACCCAGCTCTAGAACTCCTTGATCATCGTTTAACCGTATAGTTCCCTCCAGATGTCCTACGAAGCTTGCATCCAGTTCCTTAGTCCTGCAATGCACAAAACAAAAAAGATAATAACAATGATGATAATAACAAAGATAATATTAATAATAATGACAAAAGAAAGTTAATAGTGATTTTTATAATTATTATAATAATAATGAGAATAATAATAAAGATAACAATAACGATAACCATAACAACAATAATGATGTAGGCAAAAACGGGAATTCTGGAACGTGATTGCTATGATTTGAGAATTATTCATAAGTAATATATATTGAAAAAAGCTAAGGAGACAGTCACATCCAAATCCTTTTGTCATACAACACATAGTCGTGTTTCTGTTTTACTGCTCTTGTTTTCTCTTTCCATTTTTTTTAAATGTGAGAATTTTCTTTTTTCTCTTCACTATTCACATACATTTCCAGTTTACAAAGAGAAGCTAACAGCGCTCTCATACCTGGATCCTTTGTCAATTTTTTGTTTCGACTGAAATGTTTCTTCTTTGATCTTAGATTTTAAGTAATCACGAAACCCAAGAGCTTCCTCTTTACTCTTTAAGTACTTTTCTAGTCCCGCCAGGACTATGATTTGAGATGTTTTAAAAGGTCGCTTCCATATCGGAGGATACTTTTTTATCGCCAGTACCAGGGGTTGTACTTTCTCAATTTCGCCATGAACGGCAGTGTAATATCCATGGCCGAAATTCTCTTGGGCAAACTTTCGTAGTAGTTCGTCAACCATCTGCAAAGAAATCGGGATGAATGATAGGCTTGCGCACCTATACGAAAATTAACGATAACTGAATATATAACAAACGGATAATGCTGTGAGAGAACAACGCTACCAGGTCACCTCTTACTGTTAACGCGAGCGTACAACCACTGATGTAGAAGCACCATAGTGGACAGAGGTGCGAGGAAACTGATGTCAGTTGAAGAAACCATACATCTAGCATAATCCAACTTTTGAGGTCTGTTTTTTTTAAGAGCGAGGCATAAGATCGGCAACAAAACTATACTAGATATTTAAAAGTAAGTATAACCTAATCCAAAGTTCACACAAATCCTGAGCCCTAAACCAGAGTTCCCGTCATTAAAAGAGTTACGCAGTTATAAGTGTTTGGCTCTTATTCGCAGCGCGCACTCAGGGAAGGTTAGACGATACTCTTTTGATGAAATATGATATGATGGAAACGCATGTCAAGACCGCGAAACATGCACTCTGCATGCACTAATTTTACAGTGTAAAACACGGTAATGGTGATTGCATTTCAAGAAATATTTCTTAGTACCCGAAATTTTATATAATTTTTTTTTTTTTTAAGACAAAGAGTGAAAGCAAGATGATTAGTTCATTTGCCGAGAGTTTCGAGCAAGAAGACGATATGAACCACAGATCGTATCATCTCTAACCACTTTTCTCATTGTAAAAGTAGTGAGCCGTGCATGGTGAGATCTTCCATCGTCCATATTGACGGTCTTTTTGGCATCATGCGAATGAAGGATATAATGATACAGGGATGAAGAAAGGAACTTTCACAGGCTGCCTCCGCTAACAATTCTCTTATGGGTTTATGTTCAGTCTTTCATAACCGTTGTTTAGAGGCCTGAATAAACAGAAAATATATGTGAATACCCACCGTTGAATCGAAGATCTGCTCTCAATTTATGGTTCCCTAATCTCTGAACAAATTAAATTTATCGTGAGTCAAGCTTCGGTTTGCAATTCCTCAAATTGATGACATCAGAAACGAAGTAAAATTACCATACACAAGACCTCGTGAGTTTTTTTCGGTTTCTTTCATTGACGTATATGTATAGTAAGCTTGCAATGATCTCAATATCAAGTTGATTACGATATACGAAAATATGTCTTTCGTCAACCCTTTGCTTTCAATTTCGGATGAAATGGGATTTTTTTACTAATCCATTATTTTCATCCACAAATTCTCACCGAGAAGTATTGGCAAATAATTTTAACATCCGTCGCAAAAAATTACCTGGGTTCATTATTATTAATGATTAAAAACGTCTCGACGGGAAACAGTGTGTTGATCTGATGCAGTTTAAGGAAGTTGTTCAGTAATACCAAGAATAGGGCTCGCAAGGTTTCATTGGATACAACGGACTACGTCACAAGAAATCGTTTATTGATTCCACAAGACTCAGATCTCTCACAATAAAAATACAGAATAAAAACCTCGTCTGTAAATGGCTCATTCAAATTTTAATCCATTAGTCCAGTTTTAAAAAGCTAACAAAACGATTGGATGCTTGTTATCTAATCAAAGTTAACTTATTCAGAGCAGACTCGTACATTTCGGCCAATTTGCCATTGAACACTCGCGCAATACTGAAAAATATTGCGCCAGTGATCAAAATGACAAGACGTGCAATGTTATCATCAATATGTAGAACGCTAACGAATTTTCTCACGTTTTTAAGCGATCAAATCGATTAGAAAATAATGACAACATAGTGTGTGAAGATATCTTCGCGCCAGGAGACATTAAAATCTAGTAGATTTTTGTGACTTGTTCCTCATCTGTAAAAATAAGTTACCACAAGCTGAAATTTCGCACTTTTTGTCCAGTGAAACTTGGGTACGTGTTGCCTTGTTATCTGATCTGTGGGCAGTAGGGTTGATAGAAATGCAGGGAAACATACTAAATAAGTAGATTGTGTTGAACTTTATAAGTAACCGAAGTTGAATAAATTGCGTTTACACATAAAGGTTTTGAGAATCTTAAAGCGCAGTTCACGGTTAAGAGGTCGCTTATATCGGACCGCAAAACATTGAAACGGCGAAACACACACAAAAATAATAGGAATCCGCAACATTAAACCCATTGCCAAAATTCTCCTAAAGCAAGGTGAACATTTTAGGCAGTCTGTGCAACCGAAAAAATATCTTTCTAGCTATGCTCCTGAAGTCGATGACTCAAAACAAAGAAATTAATTTTTCTTGTTGCAAAAAAAACAGCTATTTTACTGAGATATCTTATCTTATTCACTAATGGAATACTCAAGATGTGAAACTGAATCAAACGATTTTGCCAAATCAAAAAGCCAAGAAAACAGATAGTTTTTTTGTAGGCCACCAAGTGCTTCACGCATTATTATAAGTTGGATTACTAAAGGCGAAGACATTCCCAGACTTCTCTCCTGGATCAGCTTCTTCTTTAAATGTCGTTTTCTTGCCAACACAATCAAAAGACCAAGCGATTACTTTTATCTTCCAGTAATGGATTAATTTACCACGATCTACAATAGAATACCTTTCGCGGACAGATAGAGCATAAATTTCAGTACCAGGGAGATCCAACAAACATTAAAAAAGGTAATCTATCTCCATAACGAACTACTGTCGTGAACAGATAATTTAGAATAAGGGAGCAAAAACGTGATAACTGACAAATCCTGACCTGTCTCGTGGCAACTCGGCTTGGAGCCATTCCACTCCCCATGTAAACAAGGTAGAACAGACCACAGCCTTTTAATCCCCCATCTTGAGTGTAACGTTCTAGCACGGTACCGTCTCGAAATGTGTCTTCTATCGAGATACAATCTAAAGGCACATTTTCAAGAAATTATAAAGTGCAGTGGCTCGGACAAGATTTTGGCTCAATAAGTCCGTAAATTGAAATATAACTTGGCAAGTGTAATATTCTATGCATAAGCATACTGCTGGGGCGACCTGGGTCATATATCAAAAGGATAATTCATCTTGTGCTTATTATTAAACGAAAAAGAAGACTAAGGCATTTACTTTTATCTAAATTTGCCCTAATTTACTTCTGTTATCCCCGCGTGCACCATAGTATGCCGCCTCGTGTCACATTGCCATTAATAACCACGTGGCCCAAAATTTTCTGTGATCATGACAAAGATGCTTCAGACGTCATCAGTAGCTTGTTGAAGCTGGTTAGGATCTGTGGTCTCTCGGTAGAATACTTCTCCACCATTTCTTGTATTAACATCAGCCCAAAATGGTGCCACAAGTCGACAATTATCTCCCAGAGGAAATGGAACCGGTATGTATTGTGAAACTTGCACCAGAAAAGAAATTACGCCATTGGTGTTGACCAATTCGGTCAGTGCCAATTACTGAAACAGTCCTATAATTAGGATAACTATAAGATGGAAGAGCGAGAACTGAAGGAGGTACTAATGGTTGCGTTCGGTGAAGGAGCTCACCTATTAATTAGGTGACTTTCGAAATCCGTTTCGAGCTCATTGTATGTGCGTTGACCGCATGCTCATGTGCATATTCATCTTTGAGGTAAGACCCAGTTACTACCACACGTGACGCAAAACAAGGATAGCAAAGAAGTCTAAACAATGGAGCTTGTAATAAAATTGCAGTGACAGAACCAAAAAAAGTGTCGCAGGTTGATACTCCGACGTAAACCCTAGAGGACTTGAAGAAAAAGCTATTTTGCTAGACAGCCCACGTTCTTGAGTGTTAAAACTGGCCAATGCTGAAAGTAAAAGATGAAAAGCTTACGTGAATTAACAATGCGCTTCAAGTGTGACTCCGATTTCCCTTAGCGTACCTCAAGCGTATCGCTTCTGAGCATAGTTTTACCAATTAAATCTTGTCAATTCCACGTCAGTAGCTTTGCGACTATCATTTAGATAAAACTTTAACTCTGTAGCCGGCTATTGAACTGGCTTGGTGTATATATAAACATTTATTTACCTAAATGCCCGTGGTGTGACTTGAATTGATGGTAGTTAACTGGAAGCATCCGCCTAACATCGAAATAAATCCATTAAGAATAGATTAGAGTAGGCTTATGATAGAATTGATTCATAATGGATTTTTTCTTGTGTACCGGGACTCACTTAATTAGTATTTTCCATCCTTTTGATAAATAATGCTCTGATTTCACCCCCAAGACAAGTGATTGTTTGCTCCTGCTAATGCCCGAATATCCAAACATATGCAAAACTAGATCAAACATTTCATTTCACCAGAAGCCGCAATCCTTCTACTTCCACAATGTGTCAATCTTAAGCATTGTTTGTAAAACTAATTGGGTAACTGAATTAGTTCGAGTTCGTTTAGAAAGTGAAACTCGTCAATTGACCGTAGAAATTTAAGCCCCAGTACATGGCTACTTTCGGAACTTTGAACGCTTCGCGTTGAACTTGTAGTGATAACGAACTTCAGTGAATACACGAGAAGGACTTGACCCATCTTGCCTTTGTTTATTCACTTCGTCGTTGTATTTGTCAGGCATGAAAGATTTTCTTTACTTTTTGCAATCATTATCAATAAACAGATGGCCCCGAACAACGAACGGTGACCCCTGGAAACTGAAACCAAACTTTCTTTTCCCTTAGGCGGTATTTGTTTGCTTGTTCCTATTTCTACTCCTTTTTTTTTCTGCTTTAAGGTTTTTCATCCTCCACATATCTGCTGCGGAGACTAAAACATTGAACCCCACAGCTCTAATCTAAGTTGTACGAATAAGTTCGTTTTGACGACGCGAGTGATATTTAGACGTGATCTTTGGCCGTGAAAGGTGATGATTGGTCAGAAGGTGATTACCACATAGAAAGCGTTGAGGTTTCAAAACTCCCTTACTCAATCACTTCGAGCGATTTTGAAAAGAATGAAAATTCGTTCGATAGCTTTGCGAGGCTTCGAAGTCGTTGAGGAAAAAACAAATGCAATTATAATCTGAAATGTGTCCCAATGCTTAAGTTCTAAACACTCAGGACACACGAAACCTTGAACAATCATTACAAACCAGTCATTGTTTTCACCAAAGGGAAAACCCCGCAAAGGATGCTGAGATTATAAATAAATAAATAAATAAATGTCATGAGCCGGGAGACAACCTCTTCCTTTGGTGGTTTTCAGGCTGGTCTGAGTAGATATTTTTATAAATATACAGTAGCTTAAAATTAATTAAAAGTTAATAGAGCATATAATAACAATAAAGTCCTAGGATAGAGTTAATAAACTCTATCTTAGGACTTCAGGTTAGTAACGGGTGCCAAAGCAGGGCCAAGGGAATGAAAACTAGAGACGAATGAAAACGACAAAATTGTTGATCAGTGGTGGATTACGATCAGTCCCGGATTTCCCAGCTCAATTTGATAAGCGAACTAAATAGGGGTACTCGGGTTGCTCGTGGACTAAATTAAATAATTCAAGTTTTGCGACGTGGTATATAGGGGAAAACTAGTTGAGGAGCGTACCCTGCGCTGAAGAAGACACCAAGGACTATACGTCTGACATTTTCAGTCTTCTTTATTACCTCAGTTGTCTCAATAACTACTGTGACAATTTCTGCTGTCTTTGATTTACAGCGAACTCTCGTCCCCCCTTTTCACTGAAAAACGTACGAGTGTACGCTTTTATATACAGTATCGGAAGGCAAGAGTGAGTACGCGGGCCGTGACCCTAGAAGATTAACATTTGTTATCACATCATTTATCCGTGCAGACATGAACTTTCACGAAAGCCTTAAGAATGAGAAAAAAATCTACTCAATGCTTAGTTAATACTTCCAATCAAACAATTAATCTTTAACTGCGAAAGCCAAACAAAAATCTCAGCGAAGGTAAAGCCAGAAGAAAAACTAAGCACATCCTATGCTACGGCTTACTGTTAGATAATCATGTCCTAAAACGGCCAAAGATTGCCCCTAAAATAAAAACTACATGAACACGCTCAAGGACTATTAAAAGATCAGATGAAACTGATATATCCCAAATGATTTATAAAACATAGGTAACATGGGACTTAAAATTTCACTCTTTTCTGATTGCTAAATACAAAAAAGCATGAATCCAAAACGAATTTCAATGCATGGAACTACTAAACGATTTAAACGAAACAAAAAGAAGTGCGCATAGGTTGCTTGTGAACTCATTAATTGTATAACTACAGAGAGATCAGTGGAAGTCAGACAACCATGAAACCTTTTTCAGTGGTCATCAGTGTTCTCTAAATGTGAGTTGCCCATTTGGGGAAGGTTCTAAAAATTGCACCATATCATCTTGCTAAATTATCAGTCTAATACAGCGTTAACATTGCCTACTTACATTTAACTGTTATGAGCCTCTTTCTGCCCTCTTAATTACGTGGCTCAGCATGAGTCATCTACCAATCTACCCCGTAAATGAATACAGTTTTTACGACCGTAAATTGTCCTGACAAAAACTTCTTGAAATGTCGGGTCGGTAAGGTTTTTGGGTCACAATAGGACTCAAATTTAATTTCGTTTCGGTACGCTCAGTACAGATTTCACTGTAATATCGAGAGCATTCACTGAGAAAAAAAGTACAGCAAAAAATGATATGAACCATTTGTTTCTCATCACATCAAATTTCCAATTTATTTCTTCGAAAAAAAAAGAAAAGAAAAAAATAACAAAAACTTGCAGATGAGGAGTTCTGATCTCGGTTATCAACTCGTTCCATTTTAGCGCTGTGTGCCGGAAAAGACAAAATTCTCATGCAAAACATTTTTAGAAAATTTTCAACACAACTGAAAAAGGCTCTTTAACTTTGCATTGGACTTATGGGTCAAAGTTATAGGGTCTAGGGTAAGGGTATTTGGTATTGCTTGTGGTGAAGGCCAGATTCTTAGAAGTAGAGTCATCCTTGGACTTTCCTATTGAGAGATCAACCTGGGATATGGAACCTCTCGCTTTGGCACAGAAAACGCTCCAAGCGATCAATATGATGACACAAAAGACCATGCCAGCACAAACAGCAGCGACAACATGCCACCTCGATGCCTTGGTTTGCTTTGGTTTACCTTTACCTGTATTATAAGATATTAGATAACAAGCTGAATACACGCAATTTGATTGGTTCTTATTTATGATCTATTAGAAGCAGAGATGATTAATATGTGAAACCGTGATAGATTCCATTTTGCCGTGGGTCTGTGCAGTAATAGATCACAGAAAGATGTGGAAAGGACATCAGTAACACATTCGGTTGCGCTTCGTGTGCCACGGTTTTTCTTACTACATTTTGATGTCATTTGTCATCTATTATTGTACAAATGCACGGCAACATGGAATCTATTTGTTTACGAAATTAAACATGACAGTAGTCAGCCAATTATCTATCTGGTCAAAGAACAAAACAATTAAAAGCTTTTTCGTAATTTCTTCAAGGGTATATTAGCTTTGGAAGTATATCTGAGCGCCTGGTTAAGAATAATTTTCTGGTGGCTTAACCAAATCTTTGAAAGGCGATTAAGGAACTCAGCTCAAAAGTCAGTCGTAGCATGTCTTGGCGAAGTAAACATTTAAAGCTTTCAGCGACTCAAATGAAGTGCAACTGGATTTGACAGACTGTGTAAGGATCGACAAGGCTTTAAAAAAATTTGCAGTAATCTTATATAAAAATCTGTTTACCTGGCAGACAGCTCGGTGTTGAGCCATTCCTCTGTCCCCGAAAACAAGATATGACAGACGAGCCGTTCAGGATAAAACCAGAGTTACACTGGAATCGATAGATAATCTCGCCATCTTGAGTTTCATTTCTCAGTACGGTACCATCGCTAATTATGTTTTTCAGTGGAAGGCATCCTTAACAGAATATCGAGAAGGTAAGTCAACCAAAATAAGGTTTATAAAAGAAACATTGAAGCGTATTCAAATCCGAAGTCGCGAAGTAACTGAGCATGATAATAAGGTTCATAGCGGATTTCGTAGGATGTGGTCAACATCCTGAGGAAGGATCAAACAGAGGGAGAAAAGAAAAGAAGCTGAACGCCTTTTATTACCAATTTATGGAACTAAGGTAGCCTTAAACCGTCTCTCACTATCAGATCCAAACACCTCACAAATGATGAACTGAGGAAGTGATGAGATGAGACGTCGATAAATTAACTGGACTGGAATATTTACTGTATCTTAGAGAGAACCAAGTGTAATATGAATACGATATTAAAGGTAATATTTTCTTGATCGCTGCGATTTTTCACTGACGTTCTTCTATCACTGAAATATGCATATTTCAATAGTTTGTACATGCTGTCCTTCAGAAGCATTTTTAATGAAAGTATTGGAATTCAAACGCGCCCTTAAACTACTGTTAACATCGAACGTTAAAATGCAAGGTAGAATTTTAATCGTGAAGTCATTACAGGTTCAGTAAGTATACCGAGATGTGTTTCAAGCTGGTGCAGTCTTGATTTTGGTTCATTTTTATCTTAAACTAAAAAAAATTCTCTATACCTGGCAAGCAGCTCGGTCTAGAGCCATTCCACTGTCCCCGCAAACAAGATATGACAGACGAGCCGTTCAGGTAGAAATAAGGGTTACACTGGAATTGGTAAAGTACTCCGCCATCTTGAGTTTCATTTCTCAGTATAGTACCATTGCTTATTGTTGTATTCATTGGAACGCAATCTGTATAGAGATATTCAGCTCATCAAGTTTGACACCAAGTGTTTTCACCAAAGAAATCAAAGTAATCAAAAAGGATTACAGCTGAAAATTTCTGGAAATATGAAGTACGCATTAACACTGAGCCAATTATCGCAGACTATTGCATGACCTCTACGACCTCGCACGCAATTTCATTGAAAAGTATCATTTGGAAAATAAATCCATGTATGAGGGTCGTAGTAGATTGCGTGTGCAGGGTCATAAAAAGCCATAAGAAATCAGAAGAAAAACGAAAAAACAAGGGTCATATGGCGCACGGACTTCACTTCACTCGGTCCATTCATCATAACTTCGATTCAAACATTTCCCGTCCGGCCCTCCCTCTAAGTCAAAAACTAAATATTTTGAATCCTTTTTCTAATCTCATTACCTGGTAAACAGCTCGGTGTTGAGCCATTCCACTGTCCCCGCCAACAAGATATGACAGACGAGCCGTCCAGGTAGAAATAAGAGTTACATTGGAATCGATAGATTACTCCACCATCTTGATGTTCAGTTCTCAGCACGGTACCATTGCCAATTTCGTTTTTTAATAGGGGGCATGCTGAATAAAATGGGGATATAGAGAGTTACCAACAAGGTCTGAGCAAAAAAAGGGAAACTTTAGATCAAGCTAAAATAGAGAGGCAACTCTAAATAACAATGAGGCCCACAGCCAATTAAGCGGGGTGTGGTCAACATCCTGAAGAAGGAATAAGCAAGAAGTTGAGGAGGAAGCAATTAGAACAGAAGAATAAAAAGATAAAAGAAAGAGAAGCTGAACGCCTTCCATAACAAACCAAAAAGAATGCAAAACTTAAGGCAACCTCAAACCATCTCCTACCATCAACTCAATGTCCTGTAGAGGATACAGACGAGCTATTTACAACATTTACACCCCAAACGAACCAAACAGAACGATCAAACGAACGGCGGAACAAAACTGCCAATCACGACCAAACTAACGCCGATTGGGTCTTATAGCCAATAACATTACGGCTAAACTTTAAATTTTACAAGAACTGGACTTTTAGCCCTCGACTGACCATACACTTCATTTTATGACGTCCTCTTACGTTTTCAAAACGTCAGTCACCATGCACTACCGACGACAGTCTGTAAATTCTCAAGACTGCCCTCACCCGGACGGTCAGACTACACGATTACACCATTTACTGTTTAGAGAAGAGTAGTTGTGGAAGAGCACGGTGGTGGTCTGCGCCGTCTTAAGCGACTTCAAGAGCACCAGAAACAAATCTAGTTGGACTGCAGCATAAAGACATCGTCTTAAATGTAGCTTCATTGCACGTTCAGAAAAGAGGAAACTCGCTGTTTTCCCGAGATCTAAAAGTGTTGAGGTTATTTCGTACATGGTTACATACAAATAACTACAATTATTTCACAACGATCACTTTCTTCTACACGCGTGGTTATCCTTTTCCTAATTTTGCACACAACGTACCTGGTGTCTGAGTGTCATTTATATCTGCAGCATACAGTTCTAGAGCTTGTTTGGTTGCGTCTCCGATGCTGAATTTTCCGGTGGTGTGGATGTCAAACAGACATAGTATGCTATCGCCACACATATCTTTAGCTTCTTGACCCAATGTTGCGTTTTCAAACGTCAAGTTGGCTTGATCCAAGAATATCGGAACATACTCCGCAACGACATGAGAAGAATGGTTCTTCCCTTCTTCGTATGTGAATAAAGAATCATTGGCTGAAGTGACCCCTAGAACGAAAATAATGTAATTGTTACCCGAATCGTCCACAACCTAAAAAAAATCTCCACAAATCCATACATGCCTTGTCATGTTCAACTGGACTCCTAGCACAATGTATTTCCTTCCTTGTAAAATCTGATTTAAGTTTCTCACTGATTGCAAGTCGCAACTCTAACATGCCAGAAAACATATCTTTTTCAAGGAATATATCAACCCCCAATATGTGGACACCATCGGTGTCGCACTTGTAGTCGAAAATAACAGGTTTTCAACCAAAGAGAATCAAATTAAGAGATTGATTATCGCTCATCCTACTTTTCCAAGAGTAACTCCTTTGAATTAATTTCAAGCAGGAGCTCCTGTTTCAAGTTATTTTTATGCCGTGCTTTGGTATCCGATTTCCGGGGAAATTTTTACATGTACTTTGTTTGCATACGTTTGGATTTCAACATGAGAAAAATGTTCGGGACAATGCTGCTCAATTCTGAGTAGTCGTGGATTATTTGAACACGAGTGTGCTATAAAAATCATAGACTTAGAAATATGGCCCTTATGAAGGATGTAGTTTGTTGGGTTTATGCCCTCTCGATTGCCATTGACCAAAAAGAGCATTCTAAGCTTATCTATGAATTCGTTTAAATCAGTCTGATCTGTGTTTTACAAACTATGTTGGCTGAGGAACGTAATGGTGTGCACGGTACTTACATAGCTGACCAAAGTCTTTATGAATGGTGGACTGATTCGAGTTATGGTTCAAGGTAGTTCCATTGGGAAGCAAAAAGTCGTTCTCTTGATTCTCGTCCCAGAACCCCAAAAGACCTTTTGTAGCTCCTAAATAATATTATGTGACGAAAGGTCTTTGCTCGATCAAACAGACATAACTTATTTAGGAGTGTTTATCGGAAACTATCAAAAATTCCTGCGTTTGAAAGTACTTATTTCGTCAAGACATCTTACTAACAGAGCAATCATAAAATTAATAAATGAATTGAGGTCATTCCTTTTCTAGTCAATTTTTCTTTTTACAATAGTTGAGCTAAAAAGCCTGAATTTTTTAAAGTTTACCACATCAATATCCTTTCTTTGCCATGAATGTCACTAGAAAACCATGCACGTTTCAAAATTTTTTACCTGGAAAAATCTCTTTTGAAGTGAATTAAATCTTTGTGGGAAACGAATACAAGAATTACCCTTAAATTTTGGTGGTATCATCAGCATCATGTTCAAAATATCCTCCACTCTCTGGAATGTCATGGATACTCCAGAGTTAAATATGGTGGAGTGTTTTGATTCGTTGCTATTTTTTGATACTGAGAACCATTAAAATCCAACTTCGAAAACTCCTCGAATTCCACCAAGTCTCAATTGACCAAAATTTGGAAAATCCCCGGGCTGCCAATAATGTGGACCTGAAGATTAGGATAATGAATAATGTTCATGTTTAAGTACGTTGGCTGCTGAAAAAACGCTCTAATCATCCTTTCTCGCTTCTCCGATACATGCACTATCCTTCAGCGAAGGTGAAAGGTTTAGTAGATTATTTTCTGGAAAGACAGGAGCAACAGTTCAATAGAAGTGACTGACGTTTCGACAATCTCAGCGCAAGTTATGATCAGAGTGCGATGATCTTGCTGACTCTGAGAGTGAAATCCGCTCAGGTTGTCGAATGGTCGGTCAGTACTATTGCCAGGAGTCCTTTCAGGGACTTCCTTTATTCGCATTTGAATTTTTTCTTCAACTGGTTTCTTCTTACTTTTATCACCATTTTAACACCAAGTATATTTTTTTATGGTCTGGAAAAAGGTGAAATAAATTACCCCACCAGAGGGTAAAACCGACACAGACGACAATTCAGAATCATCTACAGAGACAGATAGTGTCACGAAAGTGCTATTTATCTTTTTTAATTTCTAAACTGAATAATGGCCAAATGATCACTTAAAAATGATAGAGCGAGGAAAGCGCTTAAATGGTCTATGATATAACAGGATTATATTACCTGCACGACATCCGAGACATTTTCCTTCATTGCAAACGCTTTAAAACCAGTGGCAAGAGTATTGCTGCCATTATCTTTGATTAAAGGCTGCATTCGTCCCTGAAGCTCAAAGCCAACAGGAGGTATCTGGAGGACATGATACTCGCCATAACCATTGAAAGAGTATTGAACACCGTCGAGTGTAATCATGTGGGGATCTCCGCTTCCAATAGCTTTTTTTTTTAAATAAATAGCAATGAAAAAACATTAAAACAAACAAACAACCATAAATTGGACCGCTAGTTGACATAAGAATCAGTTTTTCATTTATTTCCTATGTTTTGAAGATTCTATGAAACTGTTACATTGAATGACAAGGGAAGCTCAAAACATCCTCTAAACCTCCATAGAAAGATATTTTTCTTTTTACTTTAGATCTTTTAGCGGTAACAAAGATTTGAATTGAAGATCGGATTTATCATGTTCTTTCATCGCAAACGCTTTAAAAACAGTGGACTGATTACTGTTGTCATCATTACTGATTAATGGCTGCATTAAATAGATATGTTCAGATCAATCTTTTTTTTTCCTTTTCTTTTTATTCGCGATCGCTCAAAGTGTTACACGGATTAAAGATGCAAATCAGTTTGAACCAGATCTTTCTACGATGAAGTGAAGAGACCTCATGGGGAAAAAAGAGTAATCGAATTGTGTCTTTAGGAAACACTTGCCGTTGATTCAATTAAATTTTAAAAACTAAACAATAATTGCGTCCAATTTTTTGTATGTCCCTTAAAAAGCTCCACACCAAAACGCCTTTTTTGGAAAGTGCACTTGGCTTTGAAGAGCCATCGTTTAACTAGGATAGCCTCCCTAGCAAGCTTCTCTATGCAGCTTACTCACCTGGCTTTGGGGGTTCGTAGCCAGAGCTGTTATCTGAAGGTCTTTTCTCAAAGTAACGCTCACATTGTTCTGAGAAAACACAGCAATCCAAAAAAGGAACATAGTCTTGAAAGAAATGAGACAACACTGGTACCCCAGCCTCGGTATGAAAACGATTCAGGGATCCCCCGGTGG